CTCCCTGCCTGAATAGTGCTCGGTTGTTCACATTCAATTCTGGCACACAGCCCTTTGATCGGGATCATAATGTCTGAAACAAAAACACAAACAAGCTCTTTGTGATAATCGGTCGTGTATTGAACAAAAGTTGAGCTTCAGGTTGAATAGAAGATACTCCTGGGATTGGGATGATGAGGATTCTGGATTTGAGACTGGGTCCACTAGAAGGAAACACACAAGGAAATCAAGGTCAAATAAGATAATATATACAGTATAGGATAAGAGATCAGTGCTCCTCTGAAGCCTCCCTTTACCTTAGCGGTGTAGTTAGCTTGGTACTCTGTCAACAGTGGCTTCCTGCTTGGGTCCCTACAGTTGACATTCTGGGCAACTTGTAGTGTGCTGCTACAAGGAACGCCAGGAGTGAAGCTTGGCATCTTAAAGGAACAGCTATAAGGGAACTCGGTTTTACAAACACAGCTGGGGAGAGGGAAAACAGAGCAGGTGTTAGGAAAAGAGCGACACGTGAGGAGCAAACCTAAAAGAAAATGTAAAAAATAAAGGTCACATGTTATCTAAAACATACTTAACTATGGTTTTTGATCCCCTCCACCCCCCCCCCTCCATTATGTGAAAAGTCCATCCTCTCCGTCTTTTGCCTGCTCCACTTTTCAGAAAATGTGTGCCAAAACAGGCCGTTTTGAGATTTTCGCTTTGTGACATCACAAAGGGCAGTAACCCCTCCCCCAGGAGACACTCCCACAGCTGGGTGTTTGTTCTGCCTCTTAATCTGCCTTCTCAGCATAAACAATCGATAATGGCACGAGAAAGCCCACGCCCACCAATCACTTCCAGAGAGGGGGCGTGGTCAGCTCATTTACATATTTAAAGCTACAGACACAGAAACAGCCTGTTCTGAGCGGGGCTGAAATAGAGGGGTTTATAGGCATGTTTAAATACAGGATCAGACATGTTATAGGGGGGCTCTCACACATATTAAAACTGGTTGAAAAAAAGTATAATATGTGACCTTGACATGTGGCTAGAAGTGAGGTTTGTGTCAGTTGCTTACCAATGGCACTGCCTGGGAAAAGGCTGAAGGAAAGTGCTGATTTTTGCGATGAAGTCCTTCAAGCTGCTAATATTATCCAACTTTCCAGCATCTAATAAAACAGAAAAATTAACAAATTATCAGTCAAACTTTACAGTCGACTAGCTCTCTTCACTTGAGACTCTGCTTTCCATTCACTATACAGGCTGACAAGATGAGCAGCTGTAACGCTCTCCAGTTAACAGGCTCACTTTCTGGCAGGCCAGTTTTAGCTGTTTAACTTTGGACTGTTATGATCATTTGTACAGAGGTCCAGGTAATCCTGAGGATGAAACCCTAACATTTAAAGGACCATTACCATTAGCATGTTAGCATGGTTAGCATGGACCAAGCTTCACTGTTGCAGCGGAGAACCATGAGTGTAGAAACATATTGTTTGTACTTTTAGTTATGATGACACACATTTTTTGTTTTTTAAAATCCCTTTGATGTCCTCTAGAGATATTACCTAACCTCTGTCATTTGGCTTTCTGTTTCTGTATATGTGTGTATGATAAAGAGAGTTGTTCTACCTTTGATTTGGATTATTGAACTAGGGGTCACAGGAAGGTGGAGTAGGGCCTGTAGCTCAGCCTCTCTGCAGATGGATCGAATGTGAGCTTGAGAGCAAGCCGGGCAAACAAGAGATGGCAACAATATCACACCTACAAATGAAAAAAAAAAGAGATTTCTTTCTTAACTTTTGGCATAAAAGCTCAAGTTTGAAGGCCCTCAAAACATTATAAGCAGGATTTAAAAAAAATATTTTTAAAGGGTTTGAGTCCAGGTTAAGGTCAGAACATGAGCCAAAGATTTAGCAGCATATGAACCCTCCTGAAGATATTAACAGCTTTCTTACCTTGCTCATAGAGTACATGACACTTGTGCTGCGGCTCATCTTTTGCCTCTCGCTGATCAAACACTGTCAATAGAAACAGATTCAACTTGAGTAGCCATACAGCTGAAAGGTATGTATATCAGAGAAATAGAGAAGAACTCCCTCTTACCCTTTACATAGGGCAGCAGACCTTTCTTCTCCCCACAAACTACAGGCCAAGTCTCCCTGGGGACTCCTGTATCCGGAGTCCTGGCTTCAGTCAGGGTGGAGCCCGCAGCCGCTGACGCCTCAAAGACGGGAAGAGGAAGGATGCCAAATCGCGGCAGGGATGCAGGAGGGAGGAATACGATGGAGGCTGATAAGATGCGGTACAGAAAGAGTTGAGTATGGTGGTGGTGGTACATCAAACTGAAGAACATGATGATGAAGTTACTGCATGTGTGAAGTTGTTTACCTGTAAATAGGCGGCTGAGCCGTAGTCGCTGTTAGTTGTCTTGTAAGATGTTGGCCAGATATCACAACCAGTCTATGAAAACAATACATCCAGACAGTGAGTCTTAAATCTGTGTGTCCGTCCGTCTGTCTATTGGTCCATCTTACCTGAGGTGAGCTGACATAGGGGACAAAGGGAGGGGCAGCTCTAACATCTGTTATAGGCCTCCGTGGATTCACCTTCAGGAGGTGCTCTCTGAATTTATTATAGTCCCTCCTATAAGTGGTGACAAATCTCCCATAGGGCATTTCTCCCACAGCCTGAATGAGAAAAACATGCATTGTGACAACATTACCTGAATTCAGTTTGTGTGTGTGTGTGTGTGTGTTTGTGTGTGTGGTCCGGCATAACTTTTTTTGCAAACAGTGGAGAAGTTATTCAGACCCTTTAGTTAAGTGTAAAAAAAAAAATATACTACATTGTTGATGAATGTCTTGAATTAAAAGCAAAAGTAATCAAATCATGAAAAATAAACATGGTGGGTGGTAAACAGATAACTCCTGTGGTATAAGCACAGATGAATCACGGTGTGAGAAGCGTTTACTGTCATGTTGTTAAAGCACATTTCAGTCTGATCTATTGTGAATGAAGTTCTATTTTTTACGAGATTTTCTCCTCAGCTTGACCAAGTTTCATTCTTTCATGACAGTGTTTCGTTTATCCTGCCACAACTTTTGTCTTTTAGGTCACTCACACCACTTTCACACTATTTGTTTTTAGCATGGAGAAATAAAACAAATTTTGAGTCAAAATTAGACTCAGTATTGGATTAAAGCTCACCAGGTTGTAAGAAACCCAAATAAATACAGCTGATAAAGTTACTCAAATCTGCCGTGCTGTATGTATCAACAGGAAACTGAGTAATCCTGTGATTATCGACTGTATGTCCGTTTTGTGTTCATACCTTGTTTCTAGTGACCTCACGTGGTCTAAATAAGTAACATCAACACAGTTAAAAAGACGTGTGCTTTGCCATTGGAGAGAAAAAAAATGCCACAAATTAGGAAACATTTTTCTGAAAAGTTTATGAGGAGTCTAAACTGCAGTGTTAATCTTTTTTGTGCAGGCAAAATTTAGTTCTGCATTGACTGTACATTAAATAAAGTTTTAAGACAATCTAGTAAATAAGTCATACAATCAGGATTTTGATACATCACACAAAACTTATCTCATTACATCTTTTATAAAGAGCAGGTCGACTCGAGCAGCAGGAGCAATGTGTGCAAAACCATTTTGACCTCTTCATTTCAATTCAAAACAGACTAAAAAACAACACCCCCCCAAAAAGGCCTAAGTCTGGCACACTCTTACATAATTTAACTTAAAGATGATAGGAAATAATACAAATACAAAAAGAAAGAGGCTTCAGAGTCAGAGTACTTACTTTCAGTTGTTTTGAGGAAATCATTTGATGCTTTCTGTGATTCCTCCCTCATAGCAACACAGCTGAGCTGAACTGAAGAGTCAGACTCTCAGACTGAGAGACCATGGAATGTTACTGCGACTGTTTTTAATCGAAATGTAATAATTCTGTTGACGCTTATTCCACATCCAGAGGTAGCTTATCTGTCTTTTTATTTGATGTGCAAGCACTGTGTTCACACCATAATGCTGTGCACATGCAGACAGGATGATAAATAAACAGAACAGAACTGAGTCCAACAGTAAAGTGAGATTTGATTTGCTCAGCTCAATATACAGAGGCTGTAGTCCTCTAAACGGGCGGCCTGGGTTTGAATCTGACCTGTGGCATGTCATTCCAGACTCTCTCTCTCTGGTTTCTGGCCCGATCCACTGTCCTACAGTATGTCTAAAAAAAAAAAAAAAAAAAAGGGAACGCAATCAAATCATAACCCTCACACTGGGAAACGGTAGGAAGCAGCCATGCCTTACAGGGACTGGAGCACAGGATCGTGCTTTGCCTATTGTACTGGTAAAAAAAAATGAAGGATGCATTGTTAGATCATGGCAGTACAGCCACTTTCTAGTTTAAGGTTTTAGGAGCAGGTAAAGGGGAGAAAAACCCAGATGACCTGTTTTAGTGCACATGATTAGAAACAGGATGGTACAGACACTGACCCAAAAGAACCCAAAAGAACCAGGACATACAACGTGTCCTTCTCTATTAGCATGAAGGCAACTCTTGAGTGTATCGTCAGTCTGAAAAAATTAAGTGTACTCCTTTTTATCATCAACATGTATCCGTCTTTAACTATCTCTAAACGGTATTAAGGAATATTAGAATTCAAAAACGTATTCAGGACAGAGCTGTGACTTGATGCTTTTTCACGTCTCAGCTCAAACAAATCTTATCTTGGTGACCAGAGGTTATAAAAGAAAAAGCCCATACTTTGTTGTTTTTTTGTCAAAATGATCTTTATTATAAATGTCAAATGTAAACAAGTTTTGTCAAGTCAAGTGAAAAGATTTGCAGTAAAGCAGAAGAAACGCCAATTGAACTGTCTGAATAGTCACTATGGATATGTAGAAAATCAAAGATCTGTCAGTTTCTTCAGAACAACCTCGGTGAAATCATTTCAGTACAAAATCATAACGATCACCATCCTTAAAGAACGCTTTATGATTAGAGTTATGTCATTTATAAACCCTCTCATGCGCGTTCCTTTAGTGTGGGATTGATTGGTTGTGACAGCGTTCACATCTGGACCTTCACGGTCTACTGTTGAAAGTGTGTTGGTAGAAGATGTTGGCGTTGGCCTCGTAGTCCATAGTTACGGAGGAGCCTATACTCTGAGCTCCCAGGCTCGCGCCGCCGAGCGCTGAAGACTGCCGCAAAGTCAGGAGGCTGTACCCATGGAAACGGCCCTTGAATTTGTCAGAAGACGCCACTTGATCCAACACCTCGGTGAAACCTGAGAAGAGAAAACAAAGACATTGCAACATAGAAGAAATGTAATATAAAAAAGGGAACCTTGGCACTGCTACAGCTTGTTCTCTTTAGTGTCTGGTTTAGTAAGGAAGGAGGAAGGAAGGACACTGACCCGGCCTCAGAAGCTCCCAGCTCTTCCAAACTGAGCCTTCACACAGGATCGGCAGACCAATGGTGCCTCCCAAAAGAGACTGTCGTGAAAGATGAGGAGATTAGAAGGAATTGAAATGAAGAATGTTTATTATTAATTAGTTGAAGCACAGAGTGTGTGTGTGTTTTTTTTTACCTCGTGTGCTACAGGTAACACTGATTCTACATGCTGTGCAAGGACTCTCCCTGCCTGAGTGAACACATACTGACAGAGCGCATCCCCTGCTTCTGCACCTTAAACACAACCACAAATACCCTTCATTAGACCTTCCATTCTTATATATTTCTCCCCCCTCCAACATAACTTTGTAGGAAGTGATGTGCCTCCTACCTTCTGCCAATTTCTTGCAGAAACCAGCAAAGTGAGACTTCTGGAAGTTCCTGTAGAGGTGTGGCAGCATGCCCATTAGATCTGACACCTGAGATAAAATGTGCATTGTTTTAATGATTGATTTGACTTTCTCAGGTATCGCAGTTTGAAGCCCTGGTTGATTTCTAAAACGTTTCAGTTTGTTGCTTCCGTCTGACCTGGAAGTATTCCTCCATGGCTTTTCTGACGCGTGTCACATCGTGAGGTGGAGACACAAAGTTGTCTTTGGCGTCAAACACCGTCTTCACCGCCGAATGAGCGATCCAGAATGCTGAGTGATCGAAAGTTCTCTTAAGAAGGTCGCTCAAATCATTTCGATCAGGCATACGTCATTCATGCACAAATGTGCCCATGCTTACCGGATCCTTCATCGCCCATCATGTGACCCCAGCCTCCGCAGCCGACCTGCGAGCCGTCGGGATTGACTAACTTGCAGTTGGAGCCGGTCCCTGATATCAACACTACACCTCCTATGAAGAAAGCAGAGATCCTGTGAGCTCGAAGGTGACGTCATGACCCGTTTCAAAGGCCACACTGCATACAATATTACACAGCCACACCCAAGAGGGTAAAGTATCATCCTTTGGCCTGATATCAGATTTTATTGTTGTAATTTCAGCTGTGTATCTTTCAATGCTGATGGTGCAAAAGTACGGCAGTTTTGAAGTCTTCAACGAGAGGTACGTATCATATTTAAAATGACGTCGTATTCAAATCAACGTGGTGAAATTGTTCAGTGTAAGAATGACTTAACTGAGATTAACTGTGTCCGTCGTCAGCCGTGTGATGTCAAAGTTTTGTGCTGAGAACTTAATCCGCACTGTGATGAAACGTGTCAAAGACAAAACAGTTACCGCGGTCACTGGCGGTCGCCATGGCGCCAATGGCATCGGTGGTGATGAAGTAGTTCTGGCTAAGAGAGGGGAAGCGCTCCTTCATTTGAGCTACCAGTTTGTCGATGGCGTCCTTCTGCTCCCCTCCGCTGAGAGACATGCCCTGCGCGCACACACACACACACACACACACATATATATATAATAACTTGTGTTTATCAATGTTAGTGTTAGTGGTATGTTAGTGAGCAACAACAATTTCGACTGACCAGTGAGTAGAGCGGTGTGTTTGGGTCCAGCCCTGCCTCCTTCTTTGCTCTCTGGACCATGTCATTGATCGCCTCAATGCATTTATCCACCCCAACCAACTGAACACACAAAGACGCAAGAACACACACACACACACATATAAACATTTTTTGGGGTGGAAAGACACAAAAGTCTTGTATTCAATTCCAACTTTTTCCAATCACTGGTCCGCTCGCTTTTACACACTTTGTGAAATGATATTTAAAAAAAATGAGGTTTTGATAGACTGATGTTTTTGATTATGAACTCCTCCCTCGGCTCACCCAGTGGTTTGTGGACGGCCCCTCTGTCTCTGCCAGCATCTTTCCATCTGCTCCGACCAGCACTGCTTTGGAGTGGGTCCCTCCTCTTGAAAAGCAAAAACACAGAAGCATAGTACAGAAGTCTTCATATCACTGCCAATACTCACAAAACAGAAACTTAATGGTAGGCTACATTTAGGCAAGAAAAACAAAAGATATGATAACTTTCAAATGTATCACTTTATCACATTCGGGGAAATGCACAAATTCTTTAAAAGCTTCTTCAAGGGATATGAGATCACGAGACACACACACACACACACACACACACACACACACACACAGCAGACACAGCTTCCTTGTGACAGAAGACAAGATACAGTCAGAGTGAAACTCAGAATGATTAAAAAGCCTGGCATAAACAGTTCTTCTAACCATTTAAAACATCTTTTTAAGTGTATTGAATATTTTTCAACCCGTACTCACCCCTCAACTCCGCCGAACACCGATGCCATGTCTCAGTTAATGTTTACAGTCTATGGTCTCAGTTCCTGTTATGGTCCGGGTGGTCTCGTCTAAAAGTGTGCCGGTATCGCGAGAGCAGACGCTAGTCGCCAACCTGCAATGCATTTTTTTAACCAGAAGGTGGCAGCTCATGGCCTTTACTGTTGATGAAGATCTTGGTTAGACAAACTTAAACAAGAAAGTTATTAAATACGGCAGAAAATATTAGTTACTTTACATTTTGTATTCTGCAGGGAGGTTATTTAACAGAAAGTAAAATGGGAATTTATGCCCATTGGCCCACTAATGTGAAGGAACTCTGGCAAAATAATGCTCTCCTATTGTGTCCTGACTCATGACAGAAAAATCCACCCTTTTAAGAGTCAAGAATAATAGTCACAAAAGGTTTTTGGTCTGAAAACAGAAACAACAACGAGTCTATACTTCACAGTGAGCTGAGCCAGCAGGAGGCATCTGCAACACATTAATTTTTTTTTTTTGGGGGGGGGATGTTGTGTTTGCCAGCATCGGCTCCTTAACACATAAGTATCAATCTTTGGCTGCACAAAAATACTTTACAATCTCCATCGTGAGTAGGCCTACTAATGCTCTGTGATATTTGTTATAATATGTCCAATTAGCAGCTTTCAAAAGCCTAACATTTGTAGTGTTGCTGAAGTTTCTCTGCAGAATTAAACACCCATCCGTGGTAAGTGTATATGATGCAAATAGTTTGTATTTTCTTTAGAAAGTGTGTGTCAGAGCTGAAACCAACAGAGAAGTTACACAAGAGTGTGGAGGTGGGAGGAGAGGAAGTAGAGGAGCGGCACGGTGCGCTCACCACGCGCTGCTCACTCCTCCTGTAAGGAAGGGTTCATCAAGTCCCACAGTCTTACTATAGGCTAATACCGGATGTCAAACAATCCAGATTTCACAATAAAACATAACAGACATGTACTTTTTCCACCTGAATCAAAACATCTATCCTTAATGACATTGAATTATTGACATGTTTAAATAAAATCTGTACACCATTGTCATGGTATTCCGTTTCATGACACGAAAACGCATCACTTTATGATGTGTTGCTTTAATTAGCTTAGTTATTAACAGCTCAAGCAGCATATATACAGCCTTACACTACAGCTTTATCATTTTTAGGAAAGAAAAAGTGTGGATTTTCATTTGTAAAACTACCAAATACCCAAATCAACATTTTTTTGTGTTCCCATATCTGCAGCCTGGGGGTTGTGATTGACAGGATTTCCATAAGAAGCAACCTAAAAAAAAGTCCATGACCTCTGATGTTTCAGGTTCTCTGTGAGTATTATTTTTCTTACCTGATGAATTGCAAACATGTTTCATCACATGCATCTTCTTTGTGAACTATGATGTAATTTGAAATGGATTGGGCTTGACCTTTTGAGGTTCTGTCTTGTAGAGCAAAATGTAGTTTGAAATCCTTGACTTGCCTACCAGTTAATCTTGTGGTTACAGTTTCACAATCCTAACAAGTTAATGATTAATCATAACTTAATAGCCTAATTAAAGCTTTGTATTAAATTATTCAAAACAATCTTTTTTTTGAGGGTGAAATAAAAAATCGAGGTGAATTAAGTTTTTACAGAATTTTTTTAATTTAAATGTAACTTTTATTTTGAAAGGCTTAACAAAGGAAGTTCATTGCCGCCTTTGAAGTGTTGCTTTCCACTAGTCCAGCCCTACAGGAGGAGTGAGAGAGGCGACACAGATAGGCGACCGGCCGACAACATTTGGACTTAGTTTGTTTGGGACCACCCAGCGACAGTTACGACTTTTTTTATTTTTTTATTTTTTTTATTTTCACCATGACAACTTAAACTGTGCGCGAGCAGAACGATAAATGCGTTTTGAAACGTGTTGGTGAGCGCAGCTGCGAGAAGGGGAAGTTGTGAGGAGACAGAGGAAAAAACATAAACCTCTAAAAAAAAAAAAAGGTTTCTTTTTTTGTTTTCTTTCGGCGTCAAGTTCAAGTTCAAGTCTACTCTCGTCTCGTTAACAGACGCCTGGCCCTGGGGTGTTCAGGGGGCATGGACACCCACGTTAAGGAGGGACAGCTTTATGTGCAGCATCAGAAGTTTGGAAAGGTAAGTCAAAAGAGAAACAAACGTACAGCTTTTGGAGAAATGACAAGGAGGCTGAAAAACCCCCTTATAAATCATTAAAATATGTTATATCCAATTTATAAGCTGGGTAATATGCAATATGTGAACCAGTTATGAGCAGAAGAAGCTATTTAAGGTCACGAAAAGTCGAAGAGACTGCAGGAGTAAAGAGACACCAGAGGAAGCATAGAAAGAGGGATAAAGCCACTCAAACGTCTTCCTGCTTTAAACAGTCCACATGCCCAAATTCAAATTGTAAACAGAGGTGTTATTGGTGACAAAAACAAAAGATTCTCTGAAGAAACTTTTTAGGAGTCATAAAGTGGTACCATGTGTTTGTGAGACAATAATAGCTGTGCATGTCAGTTCAGATAAATAAAAAAAATAGAAGCACTACAAATCCTCACAGCAGTTGTATGTTGTTGTTGGTGTTGTATGGAACAAACAGGGAGATGGTAATGGTCTAAAGATATGCCTTCAGTTCCTTCACATTGTTAACTTTGTGTGTTGTTCCCAGTTGTCGACCGAGAGAGAGGTCTGTTTGACATCATGACAAATAAAGCAACGACAGGTCAGTCATTGTGTTAAGGGCCTTCAAAAGACAGAGTGACTGTAGATGCAGAGAGAGAGAGAGAGAGAGGAAGTCATCACTGTGTTGATGTGGTGCTTTGGTACTCAGTGCATCTGTGTGTGAGCCGTGTTTATGAGCCGACCACACGGACAAGAGGAAAAACAAGAGTGCTGCAAGACGTGGCGTAGTTAATTATAATTTATAATACCTGCCTGTGGGGGTGTGTCTCTGTTGTTGTAGTTGCTCGGCCTCTGTGCAACCTTGCCCGTGGTCTGAGTGCACCGCTGGATAAGACCTCATTTAGTCTTTTAGATATGTAAGAGGGTCTTTGTCTCTTCATCTCTCTGGCCGGTCATATGACACAGATCAACAAACACATTCTGGCCCTGCTTCCTGCTCTGAATTCAGCACTTGACAATAGATATTAATGTTCACACAATAAAAAATTTAAAAAAAAAACACATTTCCAACGCCTTGTTCTAAACAGCAGAAACAACAATAAGAAAACGGAGAGAAACAAGAATGCAGCATTGATCAAACATATATCGTTATCTGTGCAGACTATAACAGAGGAGATACAGAGATAAGAAAGCAGCAGAGCATAGCGAGGAATAATACAGGAAGCTAAAAGTGTTGAAAAGTGGTGTGAAGTTTGCAGGGTTTATTATGCAATAGAGCTGTCAGTAGACCCTCACACACACACACACACACACACACACACACACACAGACACATCCTCATGTAGGCTTGAAACCATGAACTTGGTTTGGAAAATTTGATGTAAGAGTGGAGTTGCAATGTCCGACGAAGAGCTTTGTTTCAATTTGTTGTGTTTAATAATGATAAGGGGGAAAAACATTAACTTAGCCTAAAAACCATACACTCATTGTACCAGTTTTCATCATTTCACTCACGCTAAAATGTGTTATTCTTTTCTTAAAGTTGTGCTGCCTTGAGTCTGCAGTCTGTCTGTGTTGATGGGAAATTGACAGTTTACCGAAATGGGGAAAAAAAAAACCCCAAGTATTCTAATTCTATCAACAATGAAAGAATAGATCATCTTCTTCGGCTGGAGTTTGACACACGTCTTCACAGAGATGTAGAGAACGTGCGGCAGATTCATGTTTGCAGGATTAAGAGTCTGCATCAGTTTATTTAAGTTAATTGAAGCATGAGAAAGAATGTGTATTGGACTGATTGCGCTTATTATTTACAGTTAAAGTACGGACGCAGTGAGGAAATCTTTAGTGTTAGTATTTAGAATGAGAAAAAAAGGGTGGTATAAAAAAATGTGTGTTGAGAGATGGTGAGGCGGCCTTGCACGGCACCTTGTGCGGCGAAGGTGAGGGGAGATAAGCTGCCTCTACGTGTATCTGCCTGTCAGCCACACACACACTCACACCCACACACACACACACACACTCACGTCCTAGATGCTCAGACCTGCTATTAGTAGTCGATGGTAGACGTCGATAAAGGGAGCTAGCTTCTGCTTGAACAGACAGGGCGTGTCCGGATAGTTTGTTATTGCACACCTCAAGGCTACATTTATACACCAGGCCTTCATTTCTAAGGAATAGTTGCATAATGGATTTATGGGGTTGTGATGTGTCTTCTTTTCATGTTTTCATCACACGTCATGCTAAATCATCTGAGAAACACCAGCTCATCGGTAGTAGTGTGACGGTGTTACATAACGTAGGAGCGTTTGCAATTCTCTCTGTTTACGCTGCAGTAGGTTGTATTATAAGGAAGTGTGATGATGTGATTTGGTGGTTTACAGTGGAAAACGGATAATTAAACATGCAGAAACATATATCTGAGTAAGCTCACAGTGATTGCTCATTTTTGTTTCATACCATCTGAAAGATTTCTGTAATTCAGGCTAACTAACCCCTTCAAATTAAAAAGTCCAGTCCTTTCTTCCGCAGCTAGGAGTGGACTCTTGTTTAGATGAAGTCGGATCACAGTGGTTATATTGAGGACAAAGGGTGTGTTGTGTTTTAACCGTTAACGGCCTGAACTTTCTCGCTCTTTCAATTCTGAGAAAACAAGTTTTATGACTTTAAGGTAGTCCCTGTCTGAATTGTCTTTGTAACAGTAACATGTAGCTGCTGTGGTTGACATGGACACCTCTTATCTCTGGCCTTTGTCGCTGGTGGAATGAATCGTGAATAATCGGGATGAGGCGATGAACAGAACATCATTTTTTTAGTGTTTGAGCGTCTTTTGGATTTGGCTTTTGGGTTGCAGTAATTGGTTTTGGTAAGCGTTGGCACGGGGAAACTGGGATTTGATTTGTACTATTTTCATACAATCACAGACGCAAACTGCGGCGATCAAAAATAAAAATAATAACTACGATTCAGTTTC